AGTATCGCAGAGGTCAGTGGTTCGAATCCCGTACAGGCCTGAATTTTTTTCAGGTCTGATTTTCACTATTGCTTAAATAGTGCTTTACTGCGAAGGATCGTGCACATATACGTTTCATAACCGCAGTTCATATATATGTATTTCATATGTTTGTTGTTTGATTTATCATCTACGGGTTTATGTCGAATTAATTTGATGGCCTGCTCCCAGTTGGCTTGTTAGCTCAATTGGTAGAGCGCTGCACAAGTATCGCAGAGGTCAGTGGTTCGAATCCCGTACAGGCCTGAATTTTTTTCAGGTCTGATTTTCACTATTGCTTAAATAGTGCTTTACTGCGAAGGATCGTGCACATATACGTAAAAAAAAATGTTATATTACTCGCTGGTGTAATTTTCAGCTATATATCCTTTGAAATGGGAATGAATGCAGCTATAAAAAGATGGGAAAACCCCGGCGATGTTTCTTATCATCAAGAACTATGCGTGACACCTTGGGCTTCGACAGCTAGAGCTTCTCTTTCTCATGAGAAATTGAAGCATTATATGAAGAATTTTCTTAATCGTTAAGAACCACTTTCTTGTAGATTAAGAGATATTTATGACAGAACGAGGAGACGTAGAGAATATTTCAACAAATTTCAGATGAGAACATTCAAAATTGCAGATAAGCTTTTCAACTTTTCTAACGTTACTCGGCAACTTCAATGAATCCTTGTTAGAGGTATATTTTATAACAAGAATAGGTCGGTCTGCTGCTTCTAAAGCTTTTTTCTGCTGAAACCCACCTTTGTATGAGTTAGGGTGTAACATATTCCTCTCATTTGTCCTTCCGTCATATGCTGCGTTCTCCAGCGTAAGTTTCTCTTCATTTGGTTGATTCAAGACTTGAAGCATTTGTCGATGAGCGTGAAGCTCGATCTCGACGTGAATCAGTCCCGCTAAGCAAACAACGGAGAGAAATAATGATGAAAACACCAGAGAGTTAGAAGCTGGTTTTGTCTTTGATTTCTCCATAACATGAAACGGATATCGAAACTGTCGTAAGCCTGTAGAGCATGAAAATTGCTTCTTCAAGGGGCAACACACGTATTTAAAATCACAGCGAGACATAGCGTGAAGGTATGTTGTCCTTACCCTCTATTGACCTTGCCTCATCGGTATCAACTTGCACTGGTCACTTTTCATATTTTTTTAAATCAAAGTTTCATCATTTCCTACTTCCCTGGTCAGCTTAAGATTTTGCTATTGTAATAGTGGAACTCATAATCACTTGGGTATCCCTGTGCTCTATTTACCACCATTTACTTAAATATGTTTGACATATCGTCAAACATATTTTCATTAGAGTAGACTCTTTGATATTTGATTGCTTGCATTGATGTAAACCTAAAGAATTTTTGAATTTTCACAATAACCTTCATTTAGTCTTCCTGTTTTGAGATTGAACGAGCTTCTCTGAAAAGCTAAAAAGAAACAAACTGTGTTGAGGACGTTTTTTTCTTGTCTTTATTGCTGAAAGGCTCAGCTTTCGACGGCTAACAAAGTGTCATCACTATTGCTTTCAGTGCGCTGACTTCCTTATTTTGAGTGACACTTAATCGAAATGATACTCTTATTTTTAGTGCGATAGAAATTTTAGTACCTCAATTACTCGCTGGCGTAATTTTTAGCTCATTATCCTTGGAAATAAGGATGATGTGCGCTTATTAAAAGACAGAAAAAGCGGTGCTTTTTATCTTCAAAAACCATGCCTAACCCCTTGAGCTTCTTCAAAGAAGCTTTGAAATTCGTTGTCTTGAGATACTTTATGGATCATGGATAATTTTTTCCCGCTAAGTACTAGGACGCTTGAAGTATCCAAACATTTTGCTTTAGTTGAAAGCCACTTCCTTTAAACTCAAAGATACACATGAAAGAACAAGGAGACGAAAATGTAAACAAATTGCAAATGATATAATCTTCAAAATTGCAGGTCAACTTTTTTAGGGTTATTTAAGCCCTGAAGTAAATAATTCTAGTCAAAATTCGTTCTACTCTTCTAATTTTTATGTGCTTAAACCCACCTTTTCAAGAGTAAGGGTATGAAATATTCATCTCATTCGTCTTTTCGTCATTTGTTGTGTTCTTCAGCACGACTTTTTCGTCTGTTGGTTGATTCAAGACTTGAAGCATTTGTCTATGAGCGTGCAGCTCGATCTCGACGTGAATCAGTCCGGCGAAGCAAACAACGAAGAGAAATAACGTCGAAAACACCAGAGAGTTAGTTACGTCCTGACTTTTCAGCAAGACGAGAAGAATCTCTGATGGTGAGTAGCAGTGTCCTTTTCCCCCCTTTCCCTTAGTCTGGCCGAGTAACGTTGATCAGTTCTAGGAACTCCAATACTACTTTAATTTCGCAAGGAAAGAGGAAGCTAACACACATTTCTAGAGCTCTGTAAACGCCTTGCCGCTAACGATATTACTGGTAAAAGAGACATAACGTTCAGCATAAGAGGATTTGGTATACACTGGGGTAAATACTGCCACTCGTAGAAGGGCTGAGAAGATTATTCTAGCAAATAGGGCCGAGCCCTCTTGTGTATTTTCTTAGTATGAGGCTTCGAAAAAGAAAAGAAATTATGTGGTCACCTTATAAAAAACAAAAATTATAAATAGGCGGCTACTTATTTAACAGTTCTTAAAATGCAACTGATGAAACTAAATAGTGAGAAGGATTAGTATCTTTCGTTCACAGTATCAGTCGCGTTAAATTAAATTTGCGAGGAAAGTAGAAAGCTAACACAGATTTAACAATAGGGCCGAGCCTTATTTAGCCCGTTGCCTTGTGTATTTACTTAGTATGAGGCTCCGAAAAATACAAATTATACGGTCATCTCATTAAAAAATATAAGAATTAGAAATAATCAGGTATTTAACAGTTCTTAGTCCCTAAGATGTAACTGACGCAACTAAAATGTCAGAAGGATCAGTGTTTTTTTGTTTAAAGGATCAGTTGCCTCCACTTAGATAACAACTGTTGATAATTACACTTGCTGCATTGTGTTTAGTGGCTGAGTTACTGGAACAATGAAACCTTATGCCACACCATAACATTTGAGTTTTCCTAATGTGTGATATCCTTCTTCGTTTGAGTCATCCAAGTCTCCGAGTGTGATTCGTGTCACAGGCAGAACAGACTTATCAGTTAACAAACCGCTGTCCTCTCTCCAGCCACCGCCACTGTTATGACAGTTACACTTCTTACCATGGGAACAAGAATTTGTTACTCCGCATGCGCACATCTTGTCATGACCTGTAGCTCCTCCCCAGTAGTTCATCTTTGTTCCACCACGTGACACCCACCAAGCATAATTCCCCTCAATAAAAGCTACGTCATTATTGCACTCAAATTTGATAAACTGTTCACAGTTCTGTGAGACTCGAGTGAGTGCTGATAGCTGAGCGGTGCTGACTCCAGTGTATTGCACATCTTTACTGTAACATCCAGGACCACCACATCTAGGAATTTTGCCAACATAAGTTCTTCTCTCACTGTCATGACTGATAACCGTCACACCAACCCCACCTTTGTCAGTCATGTCACAGTACACGCTGAAGGGTGTCACGCCCTCTTTGCCATCAGGGTTAATCGTATAAGTACCTGAAGATATTCCTCTATTGTGTGCTTTTATTTCGCTACAAGAGGTTGGCTTTCGAACTTCAAGCTCAGTGATAGCTGTTATGGAGCGATGAAAATTTCTCGCAATGCAAGTGTAGGTTCCAGCATCAGTCGGGGAAAAATTTTTAAGAAGCAGGGAGCCATTTGAATAAACTACGTGACCCGAAGGCAGACCTTGGCCTGTCCGCTGCCACACAATCTCTCTTTCTCCTTGTGCTTTGCAAGTCAGTAACACATTTCCTGAGGGTTTGGCTGAACGTTTAAGGGGAGGGAATAATGTAAACTTTAGTTTTTCAAGCACGATGACTTGTGTATGGGCGGAGTCCTCATTAATAATGTTCTTTGCCAAACATATGTAGTCTCCCCCGTCTGTTTTAGTCACATTAGTTATTTCCAACCTGCCATTAATAGCTCTTGATCTTTCCTTTGACATGCGACCGACTGCTTTTCGCCACGTGATCTTTGGTGTCGGCTGACCGGTAGCTAGGCAGACCAGAGTCACTTTGTGTCCTTCCTCAACAATAACAGAAGAGGGTTTCTGAATGATCAATGCACCAACTGATATAAAACCAAGAGGAATAGAAAAGGTGAGCAAACTTCCGAAGTGTCATCTCGAGGTGTTGACTATAATCGTATTTTTTCCTCATGGCCAATGAAACGACAGAAAAAGAAACCTATGAATTAAACATTCTGTTTCCTCCCTGTTTTAGTTACCTTGATCCCTCAAAGTACAAAAACATGATGTACTCACTACATTTATTTATATCAGAACAGTCCAAAAAAGCACAGTTTATAATGAATTTTTGAATC